AAGATCCATACCTTCCATCAGCAACGTGCGCGACCAAGAGAAACAACTCTGCCGCAATGACTTGGCTGGATCGAGCTGCGCGTCGCAATTCCAAGCCACCCAAAAGGCGCCCTCGTCTGGTTAAACGAGACACATCTCAGCCACAAAAAATGATTCGATTGGATATCTAGTAATTAAAAAATAGTTCTTTGAATGTGATTGCCTTGTCCGAAACAAACTTAATTAAACCATTTGTAGTGACAGAAGGAACAGGTGATGACAGCTGTCTCTCCTTCATCCGTTGACCTCATTTCGTATTTAACCGAGAACAGGTGAGCTCCTCGTTTGCACCGCCAATTCTGCTATGCTTCGCTTCGCTCATGGCGGGCAAGGCGTCGGTAAAAAGATAGTAACTACTTCGCAGTGCAACTACTCCGGCCTACGCGCCGACCATTGCAGACCTCCGCTACGCTCCGGTTGCAAACGGTCTCTCTAATGCCTCATATGACATATGCTACGTTGGAGTTTCGCACCAGTCGAAAGAAGTCTTACTTCCACAGACAAACTACATCATCATTGCCACTGCGATATAATTCAGATAAAATCACATTATCATCAAACTTAATGTTATGAGCCACGATGCTATTTACTTTGTGGTGAAGCACCGAACGAGAATTTCCAACTGCGATGACATCAAGCGACATGGTGACAGAACGATAGGCAGGGATCAGGCTGCAGTCGCGGATCAAGAGGGTCTATCGAGAGATCTCAAGCGATTGGATAACGTCGACGCGTAAGGCAACACATATGTCAAGACAGATTACGGGCGATCGCGCTTGGACTGCGGCGTGATTCGACGTAGACCCAAGCCCGGATCGACGACCAATCTCGCAGATCTAGGGCGGCCGAGGACAGAAGAGGACGGATCGGCAGCGCACGGCAACTCGCACAGGTCATCGATCGGGAGTTGATCGCCGATCGGGATCGATCGTGGATCAGGAGGCGATCGTGGATCGGGAGCCGATCGACCCGGATGGGAAGCACATGGGGGCGAAGCCAGAGCAAGAATCCAGTAATCGTTTGGTTGTAGGATGGTAGATGAGATGGCAGCGGTAGAGAGAGACCAGCTAAACATAAATCAGAACGCAATTTGCACAGAAGACCACAAGTGCCCTCAAGTCGTCAAGTCCCAGGAGCTACATTGGCCTCGGCAAGCGTTGACACTTCGAGTAGTGAACTAGCGGTACGGTTAAGACTGGATTAATACATTGGTCAGCTGGACCTACTCTAGTGATCTTTCTCTCGTGTGCAAGTCCTCGATCGACCGGATACTGCTTGGCCGGCGATCGCTGCGTCTCTGGCCGATCCCGCTACACCACAACTTCATGGACATTGATATCAATGAAAAGAAAGTCTAATACATCGCCAAGCGGGTGACTCTTTTCCAATGCTTCTTCTGTAGTAATCTTATGAATCATTGCAGATAACAGTGGAATGGTAAATCCCTCGGGTTTTATTAGAAAACACTTACTTGATAATAGTTTATTATCTACGCTATAGATCCGCCAAGCTAGTAAAACCATTCTACAATAATCCCAATTGTTTAATGTCAGCGGAGTGACTAACAAATTGAAGCTTTCCGGAAGCCCAGTGGTTTCAGTGTCGAATACTAGAAAACTCATTGTTAACTGCTTGTTATATTAGTGATATAGTACATTACTTCTAAGGATAAAATAGCAATCCGCGCGGCTTTGAGATATAAAGCAAATCAGTTTACGGTTACCAACTCAACAATCATGCAGACTTCGGAGCTTACTCAATGGAGCGATCTTGGCTACAATGATCAAGAAATGATCTGCCGATTTAAATCTCTTTCAGTGGAGTTTCTTCGTGAAAACATCCGCCCTGGTGATCTCGTATGGGAAACCATTTTGGCATACCAGAACCTCTCGATTGAATTTATCACTGATCACATCGAAGTGCTTCCACACTGCTTTGACAAGTGGGGGCAAAATGGATGAACGATCATATCCTTCGGTCTGTCACACCTTCCTTCCATATAGCTTCATCAATCAACACAGCGATAAACTGTGGATGGGGTCGGAAAAAATTCAGACTGAAGTGAACAACCACAAGCGCATTGAAGTGGAAGCCATCTTCGAGACGGTGATGCCTGAAAAAGCCATAGCAACAAAGATTGCTTCATACTATGTCTGACTGCTTCTGTTCATTGATAACAAGGTAGATACAAAACCTTTACTCGCCTAACATGGTTATTCTATACGCATCGTCGTTATCTTGATAAAGTTCAGGCGTATCCCCCAAGCAGCCAGTGTCATCGGATATTGATACGTGATATGGACGCAATTGATCGTGAGATAATACAAGCTCTTGCGGATTGCAATAAACATTTGGCTGGCATTGTACATGCATATAATCTTTCATTGCATTTGGTGAAAATTTTAGATCAGTGCGTATTCATGTTGTTTTGATTAGTGAGGCGTCTTCTGTAAGATATAATGATCGTATAAATATAGATCGATAATGCCACAAACGTGCGAGCTTAATCATGTGCAATTAGTAAATGCCACTCATTATATCAATCTGCATCGAACGCGACACAATACGAAGACTCTTAATTATAACAAACACATCGCTGCATTTCCTGATGGAAGGTATGGATCTTGGACACGAAGCTCGGACGAAGCGGAGGGAGGGACGTCGCAGACGGCGGGACCGGAGCGAAGGCACTTGAGGGGTAGAATGAAGATTCGAAAGTGATTGAATTGTTGGAGCTTACACCCTACTGTTATAGACACGCGACCCTGCGTCCTATCACCTAGTGCATCTAATCAACCATCACTCACCGGTGTTCATCCAATCATCCTACTCGTCTAATCATCGGTGGCGTAAACAACTTACCGTAATCACCATAATCAACGTGGGTTCGGATTGGACCGGTTCGGGTTAACCGGTTAATGGGTACAACTGGTACACAGTACCCAAGACCAGCAACCCTCAATAACACCTACATGAAACCTATAAAGACCATACTGGCTGTGCGGTCGTGTCAATCGAGTTCGATTGACTTTCTGCGCTGGACATACTCATTCGTGGACGACAAGTATTTTCACAAACTTATGGCTACGTGCGCGACCAAGAGAAACAACTCTGCCGCAATGACTTGGCTGGATCGAGCTGCGCGTCGCAATTCCAAGCCACCCAAAAGGCGCCCTCGTCTGGTTAAACGAGACACATCTCAGCCACAAAAAATGATTCGATTGGATATCTAGTAATTAAAAAATAGTTCTTTGAATGTGATTGCCTTGTCCGAAACAAACTTAATTAAACCATTTGTAGTGACAGAAGGAACAGGTGATGACAGCCGTCTCTCCTTCATCCGTTGACCTCATTTCGTATTTAACCGAGAACAGGTGAGCTCCTCGTTTGCACCGCCAATTCTGCTACGCTTCGCTTCGCTCATGGCGGGCAAGGCGTCGGTAAAAAGATAGTAACTACTTCGCAGTGCAACTACTCCGGCCTACGCGCCGACCATTGCAGACCTCCGCTACGCTCCGGTTGCAAAAAAACGGTCTCTCTAATGCCTCATATGACATATGCTACGTTGGAGTTTCGCACCAGTCGAAAGAAGTCTTACTTCCACAGACAAACTACATCATCATTGCCACTGCGATATAATTCAGATAAAATCACATTATCATCAAACTTAATGTTATGAGCCACGATGCTATTTACTTTGTGGTGAAGCACCGAACGAGAATTTCCAACTGCGATGACATCAAGCGACATGGTGACAGAACGATAGGCAGGGATCAGGCTGCGGTCGCGGATCAAGAGGGTCTATCGAGAGATCTCAAGCGATTGGATAACGTCGACGCGTAAGGCAACACATATGTCAAGACAGATTACGGGCGATCGCGCTTGGACTGCGGCGTGATTCGACGTAGACCCAAGCCCGGATCGACGACCAATCTCGCAGATCTAGGGCGGCCGAGGACAGAAGAGGACGGATCGGCAGCGCACGGCAACTCGCACAGGTCATCGATCGGGAGTTGATCGCCGATCGGGATCGATCGTGGATCAGGAGGCGATCGTGGATCGGGAGCCGATCGTGGATCGCCGATTGGGGTCAATCGTGGATCGGGAGCCGATCGTGGATCGCCGATCGACCCGGATGGGAAGCACATGGGGGCGAAGCCAGAGCAAGAATCCAGTAATCGTTTGGTTGTAGGATGGTAGATGAGATTGCAGCGGTAGAGAGAGACCAGCTAAACATAAATCAGAACGCAATTTGCACAGAAGACCACAAGTGCCCTCAAGTCGTCAAGTCCCAGGAGCTACATTGGCCTCGGCAAGCGTTGACACTTCGAGTAGTGAACTAGCGGTACGGTTAAGACTGGATTAATACATTGGTCAGCTGGACCTACTCTAGTGATCTTTCTCTCGTGTGCAAGTCCTCGATCGACCGGATACTGCTTGGCCGGCGATCGCTGCGTCTCTGGCCGATCCCGCTACACCACAACTTCATGGACATTGATATCAATGAAAAGAAAGTCTAATACATCGCCAAGCGGGTGACTCTTTTCCAATGCTTCTTCTGTAGTAATCTTATGAATCATTGCAGATAACAGTGGAATGGTAAATCCCTCGGGTTTTATTAGAAAACACTTACTTGATAATAGTTTATTATCTACGCTATAGATCCGCCAAGCTAGTTAAACCATTCTACAATAATCCCAATTGTTTAATGTCAGCGGAGTGACTAACAAATTGAAGCTTTCCGGAAGCCCAGTGGTTTCAGTGTCGAATACTAGAAAACTCATTGTTAACTGCTTGTTATATTAGTGATATAGTACATTACTTCTAAGCATAAAATAGCAATCCGCGCGGCTTTGAGATATAAAGCAAATCAGTTTACGGTTACCAACTCAACAATCATGCAGACTTCGGAGCTTACTCAATGGAGCGATCTTGGCTACAATGATCAAGAAATGATCTGCCGGTTTAAATCTCTTTCAGTGGAGTTTCTTCGTGAAAACATCCGCCCTGGTGATCTCGTATGGGAAACCATTTTGGCATACCAGAACCTCTCGATTGAATTTATCACTGATCACATCGAAGTGCTTCCACACTGCTTTGACAAGTGGGGGCAAAATGGATGAACGATCATATCCTTCGGTCTGTCACACCTTCCTTCCATATAGCTTCATCAATCAACACAGCGATAAACTGTGGATGGGGTCGGAAAAAATTCAGACTGAAGTGAACAACCACAAGCGCATTGAAGTGGAAGCCATTTTCGAGACGGTGATGCCTGAAAAAGCCATAGCAACAAAGATTGCTTCATACTATGTCTGACTGCTTCTGTTCATTGATAACAAGGTAGATACAAAACCTTTACTCGCCTAACATGGTTATTCTATACGCATCGTCGTTATCTTGATAAAGTTCAGGCGTATCCCCCAAGCAGCCAGTGTCATCGGATATTGATACGTGATATGGACGCAATTGATCGTGAGATAATACAAGCTCTTGCGGATTGCAATAAACATTTGGCTGGCATTGTACATGCATATAATCTTTCATTGCATTTGGTGAAAATTTTAGATCAGTGCGTATTCATGTTGTTTTGATTAGTGAGGCGTCTTCTGTAAGATATAATGATCGTATAAATATAGATCGATAATGCCACAAACGTGCGAGCTTAATCATGTGCAATTAGTAAATGCCACTCATTATATCAATCTGCATCGAACGCGACACAATACGAAGACTCTTAATTATAACAAACACATCGCTGCATTTCCTGATGGAAGGTATGGATCTTGGACACGAAGCTCGGACGAAGCGGAGGGAGGGACGTCGCAGACGGCGGGACCGGAGCGAAGGCACTTGAGGGGTAGAATGAAGATTCGAAAGTGATTGAATTGTTGGAGCTTACACCCTACTGTTATAGACACGCGACCCTGCGTCCTATCACCTAGTGCATCTAATCAACCATCACTCACCGGTGTTCATCCAATCATCCTACTCGTCTAATCATCGGTGGCGTAAACAACTTACCGTAATCACCATAATCAACGTGGGTTCGGATTGGACCGGTTCGGGTTAACCGGTTAATGGGTACAACTGGTACACAGTACCCAAGACCAGCAACCCTCAATAACACCTACATGAAACCTATAAAGACCATACTGGCTGTGCGGTCGTGTCAATCGAGTTCGATTGACTTTCTGCGCTGGACATACTCATTCGTGGACGACAAGTATTTTCACAAACTTATGGCTACGTGCGCGACCAAGAGAAACAACTCTGCCGCAATGACTTGGCTGGATCGAGCTGCGCGTCGCAATTCCAAGCCACCCAAAAGGCGCCCTCGTCTGGTTAAACGAGACACATCTCAGCCACAAAAAATGATTCGATTGGATATCTAGTAATTAAAAAATAGTTCTTTGAATGTGATTGCCTTGTCCGAAACAAACTTAATTAAACCATTTGTAGTGACAGAAGGAACAGGTGATGACAGCCGTCTCTCCTTCATCCGTTGACCTCATTTCGTATTTAACCGAGAACAGGTGAGCTCCTCGTTTGCACCGCCAATTCTGCTACGCTTCGCTTCGCTCATGGCGGGCAAGGCGTCGGTAAAAAGATAGTAACTACTTCGCAGTGCAACTACTCCGGCCTACGCGCCGACCATTGCAGACCTCCGCTACGCTCCGGTTGCAAAAAAACGGTCTCTCTAATGCCTCATATGACATATGCTACGTTGGAGTTTCGCACCAGTCGAAAGAAGTCTTACTTCCACAGACAAACTACATCATCATTGCCACTGCGATATAATTCAGATAAAATCACATTATCATCAAACTTAATGTTATGAGCCACGATGCTATTTACTTTGTGGTGAAGCACCGAACGAGAATTTCCAACTGCGATGACATCAAGCGACATGGTGACAGAACGATAGGCAGGGATCAGGCTGCGGTCGCGGATCAAGAGGGTCTATCGAGAGATCTCAAGCGATTGGATAACGTCGACGCGTAAGGCAACACATATGTCAAGACAGATTACGGGCGATCGCGCTTGGACTGCGGCGTGATTCGACGTAGACCCAAGCCCGGATCGACGACCAATCTCGCAGATCTAGGGCGGCCGAGGACAGAAGAGGACGGATCGGCAGCGCACGGCAACTCGCACAGGTCATCGATCGGGAGTTGATCGCCGATCGTGGATCAGGAGGCGATCGTGGATCGGGAGCCGATCGTGGATCGCCGATTGGGGTCGATCGTGGATCGGGAGCCGATCGTGGATCGCCGATCGACCCGGATGGGAAGCACATGGGGGCGAAGCCAGAGCAAGAATCCAGTAATCGTTTGGTTGTAGGATGGTAGATGAGATGGCAGCGGTAGAGAGAGACCAGCTAAACATAAATCAGAACGCAATTTGCACAGAAGACCACAAGTGCCCTCAAGTCGTCAAGTCCCAGGAGCTACATTGGCCTCGGCAAGCGTTGACACTTCGAGTAGTGAACTAGCGGTACGGTTAAGACTGGATTAATACATTGGTCAGCTGGACCTACTCTAGTGATCTTTCTCTCGTGTGCAAGTCCTCGATCGACCGGATACTGCTTGGCCGGCGATCGCTGCGTCTCTGGCCGATCCCGCTACACCACAACTTCATGGACATTGATATCAATGAAAAGAAAGTCTAATACATCGCCAAGCGGGTGACTCTTTTCCAATGCTTCTTCTGTAGTAATCTTATGAATCATTGCAGATAACAGTGGAATGGTAAATCCCTCGGGTTTTATTAGAAAACACTTACTTGATAATAGTTTATTATCTACGCTATAGATCCGCCAAGCTAGTAAAACCATTCTACAATAATCCCAATTGTTTAATGTCAGCGGAGTGACTAACAAATTGAAGCTTTCCGGAAGCCCAGTGGTTTCAGTGTCGAATACTAGAAAACTCATTGTTAACTGCTTGTTATATTAGTGATATAGTACATTACTTCTAAGCATAAAATAGCAATCCGCGCGGCTTTGAGATATAAAGCAAATCAGTTTACGGTTACCAACTCAACAATCATGCAGACTTCGGAGCTTACTCAATGGAGCGATCTTGGCTACAATGATCAAGAAATGATCTGCCGGTTTAAATCTCTTTCAGTGGAGTTTCTTCGTGAAAACATCCGCCCTGGTGATCTCGTATGGGAAACCATTTTGGCATACCAGAACCTCTCGATTGAATTTATCACTGATCACATCGAAGTGCTTCCACACTGCTTTGACAAGTGGGGGCAAAATGGATGAACGATCATATCCTTCGGTCTGTCACACCTTCCTTCCATATAGCTTCATCAATCAACACAGCGATAAACTGTGGATGGGGTCGGAAAAAATTCAGACTGAAGTGAACAACCACAAGCGCATTGAAGTGGAAGCCATCTTCGAGACGGTGATGCCTGAAAAAGCCATAGCAACAAAGATTGCTTCATACTATGTCTGACTGCTTCTGTTCATTGATAACAAGGTAGATACAAAACCTTTACTCGCCTAACATGGTTATTCTATACGCATCGTCGTTATCTTGATAAAGTTCAGGCGTATCCCCCAAGCAGCCAGTGTCATCGGATATTGATACGTGATATGGACGCAATTGATCGTGAGATAATACAAGCTCTTGCGGATTGCAATAAACATTTGGCTGGCATTGTACATGCATATAATCTTTCATTGCATTTGGTGAAAATTTTAGATCAGTGCGTATTCATGTTGTTTTGATTAGTGAGGCGTCTTCTGTAAGATATAATGATCGTATAAATATAGATCGATAATGCCACAAACGTGCGAGCTTAATCATGTGCAATTAGTAAATGCCACTCATTATATCAATCTGCATCGAACGCGACACAATACGAAGACTCTTAATTATAACAAACACATCGCTGCATTTCCTGATGGAAGGTATGGATCTTGGACACGAAGCTCGGACGAAGCGGAGGGAGGGACGTCGCAGACGGCGGGACCGGAGCGAAGGCACTTGAGGGGTAGAATGAAGATTCGAAAGTGATTGAATTGTTGGAGCTTACACCCTACTGTTATAGACACGCGACCCTGCGTCCTATCACCTAGTGCATCTAATCAACCATCACTCACCGGTGTTCATCCAATCATCCTACTCGTCTAATCATCGGTGGCGTAAACAACTTACCGTAATCACCATAATCAACGTGGGTTCGGATTGGACCGGTTCGGGTTAACCGGTTAATGGGTACAACTGGTACACAGTACCCAAGACCAGCAACCCTCAATAACACCTACATGAAACCTATAAAGACCATACTGGCTGTGCGGTCGTGTCAATCGAGTTCGATTGACTTTCTGCGCTGGACATACTCATTCGTGGACGACAAGTATTTTCACAAACTTATGGCTACGTGCGCGACCAAGAGAAACAACTCTGCCGCAATGACTTGGCTGGATCGAGCTGCGCGTCGCAATTCCAAGCCACCCAAAAGGCGCCCTCGTCTGGTTAAACGAGACACATCTCAGCCACAAAAAATGATTCGATTGGATATCTAGTAATTAAAAAATAGTTCTTTGAATGTGATTGCCTTGTCCGAAACAAACTTAATTAAACCATTTGTAGTGACAGAAGGAACAGGTGATGACAGCCGTCTCTCCTTCATCCGTTGACCTCATTTCGTATTTAACCGAGAACAGGTGAGCTCCTCGTTTGCACCGCCAATTCTGCTACGCTTCGCTTCGCTCATGGCGGGCAAGGCGTCGGTAAAAAGATAGTAACTACTTCGCAGTGCAACTACTCCGGCCTACGCGCCGACCATTGCAGACCTCCGCTACGCTCCGGTTGCAAAAAAACGGTCTCTCTAATGCCTCATATGACATATGCTACGTTGGAGTTTCGCACCAGTCGAAAGAAGTCTTACTTCCACAGACAAACTACATCATCATTGCCACTGCGATATAATTCAGATAAAATCACATTATCATCAAACTTAATGTTATGAGCCACGATGCTATTTACTTTGTGGTGAAGCACCGAACGAGAATTTCCAACTGCGATGACATCAAGCGACATGGTGACAGAACGATAGGCAGGGATCAGGCTGCGGTCGCGGATCAAGAGGGTCTATCGAGAGATCTCAAGCGATTGGATAACGTCGACGCGTAAGGCAACACATATGTCAAGACAGATTACGGGCGATCGCGCTTGGACTGCGGCGTGATTCGACGTAGACCCAAGCCCGGATCGACGACCAATCTCGCAGATCTAGGGCGGCCGAGGACAGAAGAGGACGGATCGGCAGCGCACGGCAACTCGCACAGGTCATCGATCGGGAGTTGATCGCCGATCGGGATCGATCGTGGATCAGGAGGCGATCGTGGATCGGGAGCCGATCGTGGATCGCCGATTGGGGTCGATCGTGGATCGGGAGCCGATCGTGGATCGCCGATCGACCCGGATGGGAAGCACATGGGGGCGAAGCCAGAGCAAGAATCCAGTAATCGTTTGGTTGTAGGATGGTAGATGAGATGGCAGCGGTAGAGAGAGACCAGCTAAACATAAATCAGAACGCAATTTGCACAGAAGACCACAAGTGCCCTCAAGTCGTCAAGTCCCAGGAGCTACATTGGCCTCGGCAAGCGTTGACACTTCGAGTAGTGAACTAGCGGTACGGTTAAGACTGGATTAATACATTGGTCAGCTGGACCTACTCTAGTGATCTTTCTCTCGTGTGCAAGTCCTCGATCGACCGGATACTGCTTGGCCGGCGATCGCTGCGTCTCTGGCCGATCCCGCTACACCACAACTTCATGGACATTGATATCAATGAAAAGAAAGTCTAATACATCGCCAAGCGGGTGACTCTTTTCCAATGCTTCTTCTGTAGTAATCTTATGAATCATTGCAGATAACAGTGGAATGGTAAATCCCTCGGGTTTTATTAGAAAACACTTACTTGATAATAGTTTATTATCTACGCTATAGATCCGCCAAGCTAGTAAAACCATTCTACAATAATCCCAATTGTTTAATGTCAGCGGAGTGACTAACAAATTGAAGCTTTCCGGAAGCCCAGTGGTTTCAGTGTCGAATACTAGAAAACTCATTGTTAACTGCTTGTTATATTAGTGATATAGTACATTACTTCTAAGCATAAAATAGCAATCCGCGCGGCTTTGAGATATAAAGCAAATCAGTTTACGGTTACCAACTCAACAATCATGCAGACTTCGGAGCTTACTCAATGGAGCGATCTTGGCTACAATGATCAAGAAATGATCTGCCGGTTTAAATCTCTTTCAGTGGAGTTTCTTCGTGAAAACATCCGCCCTGGTGATCTCGTATGGGAAACCATTTTGGCATACCAGAACCTCTCGATTGAATTTATCACTGATCACATCGAAGTGTGTTGTCAAGACTGATGTGACGACGCCCCGCCAAGCGACCGTGTGACGCGAACGCGTCATCAGTGAGGTTGGCGTGACCTTCACTGTGTTGTACCGCAATCATTCAGGTGATTACGGGACGATGATTACGTCACGGTGATTACGCCATGATTGTGGGTACAGGATTGTGGGTACAAGATGGGCATCGACGTGGCGTTCTCTGATTGGATAAGGTAACTGTGGCAGTTCGACGCGCTCAGGACGAAGCTGGGCATCGTGGTCGCTGACGAGTCGAGGGGGAGTGTTGTCAAGACTGATGTGACGACGCCTCGCCAAGCGACCGTGTGACGCGAACGCGTCATCAGTGAGGTCGGCGTGACCTTCACTGTGTTGTACCGCAATCATTCAGGTGATTACGGGACGATGATTACGTCACGGTGATTACGCCAAGATTGTGGGTACAAGATGGGCATCGACGTGGCGTTCTCTGATTGGATAAGGTAACTGTGTATCCAGTAGAGAATCCAGCAGGGTGTACCCAGTAAGAGGTATCCAGTAGCAGGCTTAGAGGTAGCACGCGGTTGCGAACTAAGGACCTGAATCGAATCACTTTGCATTTTGCCAACTACTGCTCAAGTGCTCTTCCTTTTGATACAAAACCTTTACTCGCCTAACATGGTTATTCTATACGCATCGTCGTTATCTTGATAAAGTTCAGGCGTATCCCCCAAGCAGCCAGTGTCATCGGATATTGATACGTGATATGGACGCAATTGATCGTGAGATAATACAAGCTCTTGCGGATTGCAATAAACATTTGGCTGGCATTGTACATGCATATAATCTTTCATTGCATTTGGTGAAAATTTTAGATCAGTGCGTATTCATGTTGTTTTGATTAGTGAGGCGTCTTCTGTAAGATATAATGATCGTATAAATATAGATCGATAATGCCACAAACGTGCGAGCTTAATCATGTGCAATTAGTAAATGCCACTCATTATATCAATCTGCATCGAACGCGACACAATACGAAGACTCTTAATTATAACAAACACATCGCTGCATTTCCTGATGGAAGGTATGGATCTTGGACACGAAGCTCGGACGAAGCGGAGGGAGGGACGTCGCAGACGGCGGGACCGGAGCGAAGGCACTTGAGGGGTAGAATGAAGATTCGAAAGTGATTGAATTGTTGGAGCTTACACCCTACTGTTATAGACACGCGACCCTGCGTCCTATCACCTAGTGCATCTAATCAACCATCACTCACCGGTGTTCATCCAATCATCCTACTCGTCTAATCATCGGTGGCGTAAACAAAAGGAAGAGCACTTGAGCAGTAGTTGGCAAAATGCAAAGTGATTCGATTCAGGTCCTTAGTTCGCAACCGCGTGCTACCTCTAAGCCTGCTACTGGATACCTCTTACTGGATACACCCTACTGGATTCTCTACTGGATACACAGTTACCTTATCCAATCAGAGAACGCCACGTCGATGCCCATCTTGTACCCACAATCCTGTACCCACAATCATGGCGTAATCACCGTGACGTAATCATCGTCCCGTAATCACCTGAATGATTTCGGTACCACACAGTGAAGGTCACGCCGACCTCACTGATGACGCGTTCGCGTCACACGGTCGCTTGGCGGGGCGTCGTCACATCAGTCTTGACAACACTCCCACTCGACTCGTCAGCGACCACGATGCCCAGCTTCGTCCTGAGCGCGTCGAACTGCGGCGCCGCGATCGGCTTCGTCATGATGTCCGCCAGCATGTCGAGTGT